TGGAGTTCTGCCCTCTGCAACCCAAAATCAAATCCTCCACCAAACTCTGGGAGCTGAGCACCCCTGCCCTGCTCCTTTCCCCTTCTCCAGCCTGGAATGGACAGGGAGGAGGAATTGCAGCGCTTTTCCCATGAAAACTTGGTCCCTTCCTATTGCTGAACATTCCTTTTGCTGCATGAAACTGTGGACACACCCTGGGGATTGGGATATTCCTCCTCTGCTCCCTCCTCGTGCATAAAGCTATCCCAATTTCTCATTCTCTTCGTTTCAACCTCAGGAAAATGAATTAGAATTTAAAAAAGGAGGATGGAGATGGAGGCATTGCTCTCATTGCTCCTAAACCCAGCTGCAAGAGGAATATTTGGAAACCCAGGTGCTGATGGATTTGGGTTAATCATGGGGGAAAAAAAATAAAAATAAATAAATTTCGAGGCAAAGACCAGCAAGGAGTGTTGTAATTCAGCTTTCTTTGTTAAAAAAACAAAACAAAACAACCCAAACCACAGAACAACCCAAACATTGAACAGATTTGTTAAACCACAGACATAAAAGAATCAAGAAATACTACCAAAAAAAACCAAAATAAAATAAAATACATTGCAAGAGACATCTTGTTGTCCAAGGCCATTGGATTCAGGAGCTGCTGGCTGCCCAGCCCTGGGTCAGTGGAATTGCTGCGCTGCCAGGAACACAAATATTGGGAATACACAGCGCTTACTGGAGAAGAATTAAGACTAAAAGATATTTATTTACCCCTTTCAAATAAATAGAGTGTCATCTACAGCAATATTTAAATTAGTAAAACAGGTTTTGTTTTTTTAAAGCAACCAAATATAACAAAATTGTAAATCAGGTCTAGGTTTTCTTGTGTGTTAAGAGCCTTTTTTTTTTTTTCTGTGTTCAAAAAAAAATACCAACAAAAATACAAAGCAAAGTGTCTCTGACAAGTCAGATTCTTCACCAGGAGTGAAGGTCACCCTCCCTTTGTTCTGAGGGTGGGAGCGAGGTCTGAACCACCCAAAATCCTCCCTCTCCAAGGATTCTGGTGGGACAGGGAGCTCCCTGGGCTCTGAACTGAGAGGGATTTTTCCGTGTCTGAGGTTGATGCCAGCGCAGGCAGAGCTGGGATCAGGGACGGTCCCTGTGCTGGGCTGAGCCCTCGGGAAGAACTCGGCTGTAGCTATAAAGTCTCTTTTAGGCAGTTTAGAAATTAATTCAGTGTTTAAAAAAATACTTTTTTTTTCTTTTTTACTCATTACTATTTCCACAGCTGGAGGAAGCAACACCCCTTCTCAGGCAAGGAATGGGGGAAAAGCATGGAATAATCCTCTGGATATGGGATCCCTTCGGGATCACCGACCCCAAGCCACGTTTCCTACACTGCATCATCAAACTGGGAGCTCTTGCTTGCACCAGCAGCATCCCCCCAGCATTCCCAACCCAGCTCCAGCTCCAACTGGGAAGGGCTCCAGTGTGCAAACCTCATCCTGGGTGCAACTCCTCAAAAAAACACCTGGAATGAGGAGCCCCTGGAGCTTCCCTCAGGTCTCCTGGGATGTCCTGGCAAGGATGAGGGAGCAGATTCCCATTCCTGCAGGGATGAGGAGCAGATCCCATTCCTGCAGGGATGAGGAGCAGATTCCCATCCCTGCAAGGATAAGGAGCACATTCCCATCCCTGCAGGGATAAGGAGCACATTCCCATCCCTGCAGGAGCAGATTCCCATCCCTGCAGGGATAAGGAACACATTCCCATATCCCTGCAGGGATCTCCCTGCTTGGCAGCCAAGCGTGGCAGGCTCTGGCTCATCCCAGAGCTCAGGATGCTCCCAGGGCCGGCACAAGGCTGGGATTCAATCCTTGGGGTCACAGCCAGAGCTGCCCTTTCCCAAGCTCCAGGGGCTGCTCTGTTCCAACCCTTTCCCAATTCCATGTCATGAGGCTGCACAGTGGATGGAGAAGCTGGCATCCCATGGGAACAGCCCAAGCAGCCGCAGCGTTGTGCAAGGACAACGTTTGGCAGTTTCCTCATGGATTTGTTTTGCAATTTCATTTTCTGGTAAAGCCCCAGAGCACAGGTACCTCCCCAGACTGAGTGGAAACATTCCCTGGGATTCCCTGCAGCAGGACTCTGCCATTGAGAATCTCTCTGCAGGGAATGGCCCTGCCCAGACCCACCACGGAGCAGCCCCTGGAGGAGCCCGATTCATCCCCTTGCCTGAGCCACCCACTGGGAGAGGACTTGGACAACAACAAAGCCACTTCCCAGGAGCCTCAATCCAGCTGAAGGGCCTTTAAAGTCTGTTCAACTGTGCCAGAGTCCCTTTGAACTCCGTGAACACCGTTCCAAACAAAAGCCTGTTTACCAGAACATGGTGTCTGGGGTGGAAAACACTGCAAATTCTGCAGGAAGTTTTTTTTTTAAAAAAAAAAATCATTAAAAGCCCACCAGGATGACATAAATCCCCCCCTGGTTTTTGCAGGGCTGAGCAGGGTCAGTTCCCCTCCCAGCTGGAGGAAGGGTGCATTTAGAAAGAGGAACCCAACGGGCAGGGAAGTGCCTGGCCAGCAGCTCCTGCTCTGTTTAGCAATCCCTGCGGGATGCAATTCCGTGAACACCCCAAACAACTGCCAGCCTGGGAGCCTCAACTCCCCAACACCTGCAGAGGAGCAATAATGGGAAGCTGGGGTCAGTTCAGGGAGCACTGGGATCGCTGTGGCACAGCCACAGAAGGGCTCCCCAACCTTCAGGGTCTTCTCCAACCTGGATTCCGTGGACAGAACAGCTGCAGCTGTACTTGCAGGGAGCTGCCAATGGAATAGATTCCTGTGGAACCTCGTTTAGGTCACTGTGGTTGCAGGGTCCTTGTGGGGAGGGTTCATCTCCCTCCGTGACTGACCACAGGCTCCAAAGAAACAACAGGAAAAATCCCAGCTCCGGTGCTGGGAATGATGGGAAACTCTGAGAACTCCCTGTCGCTCTCCCTGCCCTCCCTGATACATCTCACTCCACTTTTGAGGAAAACAAGCAGCAAGGAGATCTTTCCCAGGGGTGAATTCTCCCTCTTCCATACCCAAATCCATCAGAACAGCGAAAGCCAAGGGCAGATGTTGCTGATCCAAGGGAAAAGCTGGAGAGCAGAGGCTGTGGCAGCCATTTCCATGATTGGAGAAACTACTTTTTGTCTTTTCTTTCTAAAATGAAATTGTTTTATCCCTTCCCTCATGATGTCCCAAACCTCCAGGGAAAACCAACCCAAGCTCTTCCAGCCCTGGTGGAGGGCACTTCTGGGGGATCAGTGACTCCAGGGTGAAAGAAATCTGCTTTTTGGCAGAGAAACTTTGAGATGTGAGCTGTGGCTGACCAAATTCAGCCTTTTTGTGGCTCTGTGCTGGTACCTGGATCAGTTTCTTCCTAAACCTGTATTGCCAAGGAGATGCTGAGGAGATCCCCACGAAGGTGGGATCAGTGCTGGAGGCTCAGGTTAGTACAAGAGACAGATCTTCAGCAGCAAGTGGAAAATCACGGAAACCCACGAAAAGCAAAGCAAGCGAGTTAAGGATTTAATTCAAATCCATCCATTGCTTAAAAAATATTGTTTAGTGCGACAGCTCCTCTTTCAAAGCAGTGTGAAAGGGTCAGCAGGAGGACACTGTGATGGTCATCACCTGGTGGACAACGTGGCCAGGCCAGCCTTTGGGAGGTCTGGCCCCAATCCTGAGCTCTCTGTGGAGGGCCCTTGGTACCAGCTGACTTTGGGTTGGAGATTCCAGTGCCTTTGCTTTGCATCCCAAGGAATTCTGCTGGTGGGTTTTGGCACTGAGAGCCCCCACAGTGAAGCCCTGCAGGAGCTGCCCTGAGACCTCACAGCCAAAAAATCCTGCAAAACCTGCAGCTGGAGTGGCAGGTGACAGACTGGGGTCCCCCCTCCATGGAGCAGCTCCAGCAGGAGCCAAGATTTCCCATCAAAACTCAAAAAACCATCTCAGCTGGAAGAAGCCAAAAGTCAAGTCTGAGTTTTGTGACTCACGGCCTTATTTATACCAAAGCCTCTCCACAGGCATCGGATCCGAGATGCTCCAACTCCTTGCACTGGCCAAAAACCTTGGGTTCTGCCCTCTGGATATTCCCAAATCAGCTGCAAATCTTCATGGATTAACTCAGCTGCCAGAGAGCTGGATTGGGAATCTCCACAGTCACTGGGCTGATTTGGGAATCTCCACCCCAGCTGCCATGGAATAGAGCTGATTGTCTCCCCTGCTCCTGTCTCGGAGCAGGACATGGGGCTGGCAAAGTGGGAGCGTGGAGCTGCCCCAACACAACCTGGAGCACTGCACAACTCGCCAGGACAAAGCCTGAGTGAGTACCATGGTGTCCTTAATGCCCCTCCATCCCAAAGAACTCTGCCACAAGGAGAATCCAGCGGGAAGCGACAGCTCCCGGAGCATCCCGGCTTCCCAATGGCCAAGTTTACAAAAAAAAAAAAGGGAAATAGTTCACCAAGCCACCTGCACAAAGCACGAGCACAAAGATCTGCAACAGAGACAGCAAAGCAGCTCCAGTGGGGAAAAGATCAGAATTCCAAGTGATGTCAGAGCGCAGAGGCACGATGAGCAAACTGCAGCTTTCCAAAAGGTGACACTTTGGAGCAGAGGAAGCGACCTGGCCCTGAGGGACAGCGCTGACTACTCGGGAACTACAGGAATTCTGGCTGTGCTCAGGGATGGGATGGCACCACCAGGATTTGACATGCAGACCATGGATTGTGCTCAGGGATGGCTCCTGGAACGGGAGGGAGGTGCTGGGATCTCATGGAGCCAGACCTGATGCAGGAAGGAGGATCAGTCCCACACCCTGCTCCTTAGAGCAGAACTCACTTTCATTGGAAGGAGGCCCTGGGGTGCCCAGAGCAGCTCTGGCTGCCTCTGGATCCCTGGAAATGCCCAAGGCCAGGTTGGAGGGCTTGGAGCAGCCTGGGACAGTGGGAGGTGTCCCTGCCCATGGCAGGGGTGGGATGGGATGAGCTTTGAGGTCCCTTCCCACCCAACCATTCCAGGACCTCCAGCAGCCCCAGGTGGCCCCAGCCAGCCAGGACATCTCCCTCCTCCACACCCCAGACCCAGCTGGTGCCATCTCTGTGGCACATTCCAGAGGAAACACAGCAGCACACGGAGAGACCCCAGGGAATGTGCCAGGGCAATCCCCACCCTTCACTTCTCTCTGCAGATGGTTCAGGGACAAACACGGCTCCCTGAGCAGGGCCATGAGGAGAGAGAGCACAGAGCTGCTCATCCCATGCTGGATGTAAGCCTGGCACAGAAAAGCATGGAATGAGCAAGCCAAGGACTTGGCCTCGTGCTGGCTGCAGCTCCGGGGTTTCCCAGCAGGAACTCCCCCCTCAGTGCTCATTCCCAGGGATGGGCATTGTGGGGAAGAGCATCCTGGAGAAGGGACTCAGCAGCAGGGAGCTGGCTTGGACCTGAGAGTGGTGATCCAAGCCCAGAGGGTGGCAGGGCCCCGGGGGAGGAAGGCAGTGACAGCCAGGTGAGGCCCCCCCACGCCACTGACCCTGCTCTGCCTCGTCCCTCTGCCCATGGGGCTGGGAGCTGGGAGAGCGAGCCAACAGCAGCCAAGCTCTGCTTCCCACCCCCCTGGGCCAGGTAAGGCAGCTCAGAACCCCCCAGGCACTCTGAACGCTCAAACCAGGCTCCAGCAGATCCCAGAGCCAAAGCAAAGGAGCCCAGAGCCAAGCACAGCCCTCACACACACACAGAGGCCACAGGCAGCACCCCTCTGGAATTGCCCTTTGGAATTCCTCCTCCTGGCTGCTGCTCGTACCAAGGACTTCTCCTGGCTGGTCTGAGGGGCTGCAGGGGCTGCAGGAGGTGGGCAGAGCCCTGGGGCCGTGCTGGCAGCAGGAGGCAGCTCCGGCGCCTGGGATTCGGGAGTGAGGGGTCGGATCCTTGTGTCATCTCAAAATAACGTTGTGCGTTTCCTCGAGCTCAGCGTCCCTGCTTTTCCTGCCTAGGATTCCTGAGGAACCACTTCCATCAGCTTCTGGCACAGGACGGTGGCAGAGACTGCGGAGAAAGCAAAGGAAAGGTCAGGGATCACCCCCAGCAGCAATCTGGGTCCAGGAGGGAAGGGCTGAGTCCTCCCCACCCTGAGTCCAAGTGCAACTGAAGGCTTGAAATATTCCATGGGACTCCCTGCTCCATTCCCAGAATTCAAACCTCCCCCTGGGAGCTCTGCCCCTGCAGCAAGGGCCCTGCACTGCTCCAGGATGATACAGGAGCTGACTGTGGATGCTGTGAGTGTCAGCAGCCAAAACCGAGTCAGGAATGGGCATGGAAAATCCAAAGTCAAAATCCCTAACCCTAACCCTTTTGCTTCCAATTCCAAAAGCCACGTGGGCCCCCAGCCTCTTCTGAAGGACAAGCCCACCCCAAGCCTCCTGTCCTGCACACTGGGCAGAGGCACTGCCTGGCCCAGGGCAGGTGGGAGCAAAGGGACCATTCCAGGTGCAGATTTCCCAGGAAGAGGTGCTAAACTGAAGTTATTTTATTATCCCACCCATCCAAACACTCCTCCCTGCTGCTCCAGTCTGTGGCTGGACATCACTAAATATTCCTGCAAGGCAAATCTAATTCTAAGCACAACCAAGTGAGGCTCAGATCAGCTGGAGGTGATCAGATTATCTGCAATGTATCAATAAATCCCATTTAAAGTTGTGTGTTTCTCACTGGATGTTTGCAGGATTATCACTGTCTGTTCCCAGAATATTTTCAATATTTTCCTTACAATCCTTTGGTGTAGGAAAACAATGAATATGGTAATTTACCACCCAGGCATTGCAAAAATGCCTTTTCCAGGAACTGAGCCTAATACCCAGGATAAAAAAGTGAGTGTGGACAGAGGGAGAGATGGAGGAAAAGAAGAATAACAAGTGCTGAGTGCTGCTGAAAGCTTTTTTCTTCCTCATGAAACAGCCAGCTAAGGCTGGGAACTTCTCCTTGCCTGCTTTTCTGGGGCAGCCCCTTGCAGGAGAGAGGGGAGGCAGCTGCTGAGCTCAGGGCAGCAGGGATTGACCTCCTGAGCTCAGCTCTTGAGGCAGAGGTTCCATGTGCCAAGCACAGCCCTCTCCATCCCTCCAAACACACCCTGGCCTTGTGGCAGCTGTTGGAAAACCTTGGAGCAGATACCTTACAAATAAACCTGAGAGAAAACATCTGGGGGAGCTTCTCTTCCCTCTGCTCTGCTGCCACAGGGGGATGCCAAGGAAAGCTTTGCCTGGATCCCAAACATTAGCACTGCCTAAACCATGGATTGGGACTAATTGTGGATTTTCAGCAGTCAAACTGAGGCCAGCTGTGCTCAATCCTTCCCTTCTTACAGCACTGGGAAGGGATTCTTTGCTGAGCTTTGCTTGGCCCTGGGCTTTCCCAGGAGCAGGGAATTCCGCTCTGTTGCTAAAAACCTGCTTACCAGGACTAAAACCCCCCAAAAACACAGTATTGATCCCAAACTTTGCCATTATTGCAAATCAGGATCTGTTTTGGGTGCTTGGCACACGTGGCAATCATCAGGACAAACCTGTTCCCATGAAAGGAGAAGGGAGCAGAGCCAGGATTTTAGCAGCTCCTGCAGAGGGAGGAGAGGCAGCGCTGCCAGCTGCAGCACAGCACTGGGAAACTCCTTGGGAGCCAAAGCTGCTCCTCCCTGGAGATACTCACAGATGGCTTGGAGAATCCACTTGGGCTTGTTTTGCCACCAGACCCCGAAGAAGTAAATGGGGATCCCACTGAGGATGATGACAAAGCCAATCCCGCATTCCTTGGGCGTCATCCAGAAGGAAACAGCGATGAGGAACAGGCAGGCCAGGATGAAGAAGATGGGCAGGCAGATGTTCACCTGAGCAGGGAGCAAGGGACAGCTTAGATGTGCCAGGGGAGGCTTTCCAGGAGTTTATCCAGCCTGGGGAGGGACAGAATTATTGTCCCTCCACCATGGCCAAGAGCTTTTCTCAGCACTTTTTTGGAACTCAGTTCCAAAATTCCATACCCAGCTCATCAGCAGCAAACCCCAAACCCAGCAGAGGCACAGAACAAGCTGGGGCTGTTTCCCAGGGGACTCCAAGCAGGGAACCCACCAGAGCAGCCCAGCTTTGAGAAGAAAACCCCCAAAATCTAAGGGAACAGCCAGCAAAGATTCCCTTTGGGAAGGCACCACTCCAGGCCCGTGGAGTTGTTTCCCTGTGGGTGCTGCTGCCTGGCACGGACCCGAGTGTGGGATGAGGAGAAAGCAGCCTTTGGGGGAGAGGCAGCAGGGGCTGACAGGATCTTGGCCTCCCCCCAGATGGGACACGGGGCTGCCAAGCTGGCCAAGGGCAGAGGGGACACAGCTCGGCACGGAGCCGGCTGCTTTAGCAGAAAACTATTTTAGGGGAATTCCACGGGGGTACAGAGTGTTACACAGAGCCACAGCCTGGGATCTGTCCTGGAACTCATGGAGAGTAATCCCAGCACAATTCCCTGTCCCTGTCACCCCGAGTTCCTCACTGTGCTGTGCCCAAAGCAGCAGCAGAATCCTACACGGATTCAGCAGCAGGAACACCTCCTTTAGCTACAACACAACATTTCCCTGCAATCCCAGCCCCTGTTCCATGCAGGACCAGCAGCTGATCCCCCCCCAGTGCTGGGGAGGGGTCTCCTGGCAGTGCCCACCCCGTTCTCACCTTGATGGGCCTCTCCAGCTCCGGCTTCTTGTAGCGCAGCCACATCATCCCGATGATGGCCAGGGCCACACACAGCCAGTTGAAGAAGCTGAAGAAGTTGATGACTGAGAAGATGTTGTTGGAGAAGGCATAGAGCAGGGTCATGACACACTGGATCCAGGGAAAAGGCCGTTAGGAAAGGGAGCAGGCAAAACCACCTATGTCACAACACTAAACAGGGGTATTTAGGGGAAATACCTGCCAGGAAAGGGATTGTGTTGACTATCTTTTATTTATTTAAGCTACTTTCAATTGGTGCTTGTAACCATTCCATAGGATCATGAAATGGTTTGGGTTGGAAGGACCCCAAAGCTTAAAGAGCCTCTAGTTCCAACCTCCTGCCATGGGCAGAAACACCTTCCCCTATGCCAGGTTCCTCTGAGCCCTGTCCAGCCTCGCCTCGGACACCTCCAGGGATGGGAAGTGGACAATGAGGACACGATGGGAAGGGTCCATCTCCTGTGGGCACATGCAGGAATGGCTGTGGCTCCATTCCAGTGGGATCCCAGCCCTGATCCATGCCCCAGCCCAGCCCCAGGGCTCACCGTGAACACGAGGGACGGCACGGGGGTGAGCAGCCGGGGGTGGATCATGGACAGGATGGAAGGCAGGTGCCCCTCTCGGGATCCCACGAAGAACAGCCTGGCAGGGGACACAGAGAGGGGACACGGTGCAGTCACAGCCCTGCAGCACCAGGACTGCAGCTCCAGGATTTGCAGCACCAGGACTGCAGCACCGGTCCCTGACACACCAGGGAGGCTGGAGATGGCCAAGGAATGCAGGAAGGATGGATTTCTATCCTGATCTCCAGGGACAGCAATTAAGTGACTCCTCAGACAACTCAGGGATGTGTCAGAGCCGGAACCATCTCAGTCCTGCCCCAGCCCAGCCTTTCTCCCCTTCCCAAGGGATTCTTATCCCTGAAGTTTCCCAACTTTCTGTTTTTCATTAAAGCCACTTTCTCAGCAGCTCTGAGCCCTGAGCCTGTGTCTGCTTCTGGTTTACTGACCCCACCATAACTTTGCCTGAGGAACAGAAGATTGAGACCACTCAAAGGTTGCCTTTAATCTGGTTTTAAAAGCTGACTTTGTCTTCCTGCATTCCCCACATGGCCTCCAGGCCCTCCAGACTTTGTGTCTGCCCACAGCCACTCTCTGGAGAAGAACTCCAAAGGAAGAGGAACTGAGCACAGCTTGTAAACAAAACCCACAGGATTGAGCAAGGAACCTACCGGGAAGAGGTGAAAAGAGATCCATTGACAGACCCAAAGCACGAGAGCCCAACAAAGACAGGGATGATCCAGGACATGACACCGAGGTGGTAGTTCCCAAAATCCTAAATGAGGGACAAAGAGAGACATTTCATACTCACAATGTCCCAAAAAACTCAGAGCTGCCTACAAAGGTTATTTGGAGAAATCTCAACAAATGCCACAGTTCAGTGCTGAAGCCGTGAAACTGAGACAAAGTTTCCCATATTCCCATGTGCTGCTCCCCTTTCCTGAAAAAGGCAGATTGTGGAATTGCTAAAATACATCAGCAGCCAGCCCTTCCCTCGGGGCCAGGACACAACATTTATCCACCAGCTATCGGAAAGTTCAAGACCAAACGGAAACTGTGAGGAAACCCAGACAGCAGCTCCAGCCAAGTGCTGAGTCAGGAGCTGGGACACAGCCCTGGGGACACGCAGGGACCTGGCCTTGCAGCTTTTTGTGGCAGGCTGAGCCCGTGCTGCTGCACTGCGGGTTTGCACCAGCAATAAGGGATTGACTCCCAGCCTCCGCTGCTCCAGCCCAGCCTGGACAGGGATTGGAGATCCTGGGATAGTGGAAGGTGTCCCTGCCCATGGCAGGGGCTGCAATGGGAGGAGCTTTGGGGTCCCTTCCTGAAGGATGGAGTGCTGGCATCTGAGGGGCTCAGCTCGTCCTGGGCTGGGAGATTCCCCCTGAAGCCCTGAACAATCCTGGGCAGGCTCAGCCTGCAAGGTCTGCTCCCATCTGAAGCCATCAGGGTTCCTGACCACACTGGCATTTTAACTCATAGAAGTATTATTTTTCTCTCTTAATTAAAACAAGGGAGACATGAAGAGAGAACAATCCAGTTCAGTGTTGACTGAGTGACCTTTCCCCATAAATATCAAGCTCTGGTAACTGATGGGCAGTCACAAGGCCAGCAGCAGCTCGGAATGAAGAGCGGCACCGAGTGCCGCCCTCACTGCTGCCCAGGATAATCCCCTCGGGATCACGCTGTTCTTCCCTGCTCTTTATCTCCTGCTCAACATCAGGGCTTCTGCAAGCAGCCCTGAGCAGCCTGGAACAAAGCAGATGTGTGCAGTGACTCCAAGGCTGATTTCACCTGCCCTGGGATGAGTCAGGCTGGAGCAGCGGGGCTCTTACCACGGCCACGGCCTCGGACGTCAGCATCTGCTCGGTGCTCAGCGTGGTGAAGTAAGCCAAGTTGGTCAGCACATACACCAGAGTGACGACAGGCAGGGAGATGATGATAGCCAGGGGCAGGTTTCTAGGGAAAAAAACACCCATTGTCCTGGAGCAGCTCGGAGGAAGGAGCTGCTGATCCCAGGGATCGCTCTGCTTGAGCCGCTCTGCTCTCCGGTGTGTCCCAGGCACTGCTCCCATGGAGAGGGGATATCCACAGGAGAACAGGGAGTGGGGGAGTCCCCATCCCCCAGAAAACACGTGGATGTGGCACTCAGGGCCGTGGTTGGTGGTGACCATGGTGCTGGTTCACGGGCTTCAAGGCCTTTTCCAGCCTTAAGGACTCCCTGAGCAGCCTGGAGGCTGCAGATGGAGAGGGGAGGATGATGGCAGAAGGGATTTGTTGCATGGAGAGGCCCTGGCTGCCTGGGCAAGCAGGAATCCAAGATCACCACAAAGGCAATGAATTAAAAATACCCAGTGGCAGCAGCAGAGGGTATTTTATATCCTCCTCTGGGCACAGGAGCTCCCTTGTGCCGGGGGCACTCCTGGGGGAGATGGGGATGCACTGGGCAGTTTTAGGCTCTACCTAAAACTCAGCTGTCTGGACTGAGGGAACACAAAGAAAAGGAGTTCAGGCACAGTCTAAGTAGGTCTGTGGACAGCCTGTGCTGGTAGAAATTTGCCTTTCCCAACAGTTTAATTTCATTTGCAAACGGAAAGTGCAAAAGGAAACCCTGCTTGGTGCCACTCTAATTGCTCCAGCAGAGCTCCAAGCTGCAGGAGCAGAGTCAAATACCATGACTGCATCCAGCAGACATGAAAATAATTGCAAAATGCAGCCCCCCTTTTGCTGTTTCTCTGGGAAGGGGTGGATCCAGCCCAGTGCTTCCCAGCAGGCACAAAGCACCCCCAGGGGCAGCCAGGATGGGCTCTTGCACAAGTGCCCCCGAGCCTTGGCTCCCAGCAGCTCCCAGGCACCTCCCCAGGAGCAGAAGGGATTTCTCAGCACTGTCCTGCTCTGCTCAGGGCCCCAAATAACCCCGAGGGGCCCGGGCAGAGCAGGAAGCAGCTCTTGCTCAACAGGATGGGAAGAGCACGGGACAAACACACGGTCAGCAGCACAAACACATGGACAGCAGCACAAACACATGGATGGACAGCAGCACAAATGCTCAGTGGGAGTTGAACCAAGGCAGCAATAAAGCCCTGAGTGCTCTTTCCTGGCCCATAACTCACAGAGGTGTCAGGCCAAGGAAGCAGTGATTTCTCCCAGCGCTGATAACACGGCACGAGAGAGCAGGGAAAACAACAGCCCTGCTCCTGCAGGGATTATTGTTCCCCTTCCCTGATTCCAGGGAGGTAGAAGGTCATTAATTCATCTTGTTTTCTCTTTTTCCAGATAAAGACCTTGGCTTTCTCCTCTGTTAAACACACGAGGAAGTGGCTTCCCCAAAACAGCAGCTTTTCCCTCAGGGAAGTCATGCCAGCACTCACACCTACCTGTAGGGATTTATCATCTCTTCTGTCACAAAATTCAAGTAATTCCTGTAATTTCAAAAGGACAGGGGTTAATTAGGCTTAGTCCATGGCATAAATGAAACCCTCCAGTTGAACTCATCTGCACAGGGATTCCAGGAATCACAGGCACTGATCCTGTGGGAAAACTTGGGGTGGCTGATGTGTAAAGCCAGGTTGGATGGAAATGGGAGCAGACTGGGATAGTGGGAGGTGTCTCTGCTCATGGGATGATCTCGAAGGTCCCTCCCAACCCAAATCATTCCATGATGAGGATGGCTACCAGAGGGCTGTTCTCACAGCAAATTGAGCAGCAGCTGCTCAAAGGACTGACAAAGGAGCCCTGCAGGAGCTTCAGCTTGGAACTGGAGTTGGAATTAAGCTCGATGTGGAAGGAAGAGAGGGCTGTGCCTTACCATCCTCCATAGGCAAAGAGGCCGCTGTACAGAGCCAGCACGATGTTCCCAACGCCCACCTTGGTGCCCTTGAAGGATCTCTCTGGGGTCAGGTTTTCCACATCACCTGCAGGACACAAACCCCACTCAGCACCAGAGAAACCTGCAGGCAGGAGTTGCTCTTGGGATTAAATGATCTTAATTATCACCCCACTGCTTTTTGGCTTCTGCTGAGCACGGGCACATTTTCCCTCCAGGTTTCCAGGGATCAATCCAGCTGAGTTCACCCCCAAATGATGACCCCAAAAACTCATCTCAAGCAAGGACTGACTCCTCCAAACTTTCTCACGCTGCGACGTGCTGTCACCAAGGTGATGTCCCAGAGACATCCTGGGGACCTTCCTGCTGGAAGATGCTTTGCAAACAGAGATTGTCACGTTGTCCTCTCAACTCCAGGCTGCTGGCCTTCGATAAAGCCCCAGGATTTCCTGCACTTCAACCAGCCACCCAAACCCCCAGAAACCCAGGATTTCCTCCAGTCCCACCAGCCACCTGATAAAGCAGAGGCCTGTGGCAATCCCTTTGATTGAGGGAAGTCAGGTTCTGGGGGTTTGGATATCAGAAGTCACCTTCTTTAGGGCCTGATGATCAAAAGTTCCTGCTGTGGATCGGCTTTTGAAAGAAAACGCCAGAAATAGAAGATTTGATTGTGCCTGTGGTCCCAGCTCTCCCTGAGAAGCCCCAGGTTTGTTTATTTTGCTTTCAAATGCTCTGCAGTTGTTTTTTTCCCTGTCTTTGATGCAGGGGCTGGCTGTGGGACAGGGATGGCAGAGCCACGCTCACAGATGGAGAGCAGGGAATGTGGTGGGATCCAGAGGGGCACCTCTGCACCCAGGGGGAGCCCATGTGATTCCTCTTAGGGCACAGAGCTCTCCTAATCACCCCAGCAACTGCATCACAAGGCAGTCAGCAGGGTCTGCAGCTTAACCCTTCATCCCTCGGCACAGGGCACCCTGGAGGTGCTGCTGGAAAAGCTCAGGGTTGCTCCAACAGCAGGAATTTTCCCTCTGGATGGCCTCTCTTCCCGTCTCACTCTGGAAATTCTCCCTGCCCAACGCCACTGCTGCAGAGGTTGGGTGACAACTGTGGATGTGCCAGTCCTGGAACAGCTCCCACTCATCTTCCCAGTGCTGGGAGAGAAGGATTCATCCCAGCAGCACCATCGGCCTCCTGGAGCATCTGTCACTCCTGGGGCAGCTCCAAACCTCTGCCGGTGCCGTGGAGCTGCCCTGCGAGGGGAGAGCTCCGTCTCCTCTTCCCTGCTCCTGCCCTGACCCTCCAGCTCCATCCTGATCCTTCCCACCCTGGCCATTGCTCCCTTCTCCCTCCTGCTCCTGCAGAGTCCTGACCAGGGTAGGAAGGATTCCCCAGCATGGGAACGTTCTCTGCTGCCCAGGGAACTCTCTGCCCTTCCCTGGCTGGAGCCATCTCATGTGCAGGGGGATGCTGTGGCTGTGAGCTGCTGCAGCTCATCCCCGGCCTGGGAATCCACCCCGAGTGGGAAACCCAAGGTGTGCAAGGCTCCTCCTACCCAGATCCCAATCCCAGCTGTTCTCTGCTGGAGTCACCCCTTTCCCTGCATCGCCCTTGGGATGTGCTGGATGTATTCGATGCCCTGGAGCCCGTGATCCTCCTCAGCAAAACGCACCAATCCTTTTTTAAAAATACACCTGAGCGCAACAGGAGAGCCAGGAAATGCAGAGACTGATGAAAAGCTGAGTTTAACCTCAATTCCTGCCTTGCAGGTTCTGCACAGAATCCCAATTCAGCCCAGGTGAATCAAAGGGCTGAGCAGGAGATCACATTCCACTGCATCCCTCGGGCTCAGCTTTCCCCACCTCATTTTCTGCCCTTCCTGAATAATTACTAGTCTGGTTCTTTCCAAGCCTTTTGTTACAGGAATAAGAGACACATTTTGTTCACAGTGCCTGTAATTAGCTACTGCAACAGCAAATGGATGGACTGGGAGAGCAGGAGGCTCTCCAGCATTTCAAACACCCCTCAGGATATCTCTTCTCAAAGGTTTCAGGCTCTCCGTGCTCCCACCCTGATCCATGGATCATCACCCAGGAGGATGCTCCCATCTGGGAGCAGCACAAGCACCACTCCATTTCTTGTCCACAGCTCTTCCAAAATCCTCCTTCTGTCTGTCACAGGCCAAATGTCCCTTCTCCTGAGGCAGCCAACACCTCACTGCCCTTCCCACCTCCCCTTTGGAGAGCTGGAGCTCCCCAAAACCTCCCAGTGAGTTGGTAAATTTTCCATTTCTGTGCCCCAGGGTAAAATGGATTTAGCAACATGTCAGGGCACAATTAAATAACGAGAGGAATGCCCATGTCTCACCCTCCTCAGCATAAAAAATTCTTCCTTGTAGCTAACCTAAACCTGCCCCCTTTCTGGTTTAAAACTTTTTACCCCTCATCCCCTCAACAAGCCCTGCTAAAAAATCCCAGAATTATTTAGGTTTGATCCTGATTTGGACCTTTGATCCAACCCCACCTTGTTATCCAGACCAGGGTGTGCTGGAGGGGAGGGCGTCTGTGCTGGACCAGAACCAAAACCTCCCAGACACTCCATCCTTCAAGCCCCAACAATTCCAGCCCCCAGGCTCTTGGATCATCCCTTTGGATGGAATAAAGGCTTACAAATGTGCAGGTGAGGCTGCCAAGCACAGCCTTGGGGCATCCCGAGCTCCTCCTGAGCTCATCCTGGGCTCCAGGCACTGCCCTGCCCGTGCCCAGCACCCCGGAGAGCCCCAGCCTGGTTTGAACCAGCTGTTCCACTCTGCTCTACAATTAAGCAAATTAAAGTAACGAGCTGTGACACAAAGCCCGTTTGCTGCTCCTCCAGCTGCCAAGACTGCGGGGATTGTGCCGGGTCAGGCGGGCGCTGCTGCGGGAGGAGCTGCGTGTTCAGGCCCTTCCCTCAAAACCCCTCATTTGCTCCCCAGTCATGTCTAGTCTGGTTTTAACGGCACAGCAATCTTCTCCTGTGCTCAGAATTGCAGGATAATGAAATATTTTTCAACTTGCCCCAGCAGCGAGGAGAGGGAACACGGCCATGGAGAGAAGGGGCCCTCAGCACGGGGTGGCTGCACCCCGAACCCCAAAGGAGGAGACACTGCTGAGCCACATCCTGGGAAAAATGGGGAGAATCCAGGCAGGAAAAGCGTCTGACACCTGATTAACCTGCAGCAGATTAGCTCTGTGATTTAGAGGAGCAGGGTGTAGCAGCTATCCCTGCTTCCCTATCCCTTCTGGGAACGGGAGGATGAGGAAGGAGCCTCCCTGCAAAGGTCCCTGCTGGAAAAGCACCGCAGGCGGTGGCACCAGGGCTGCCAGGGGACAGGCAGGGAGTGATGTCCCTGCAATCCCTCTGTGCCCTCAGGGAGGGATGTTCCCTGTCCAAGGGGGGATCCTTGGTGGGAATCAGGTGTGGGATGGGTGGGGAACATCCCCCTGCTCTGGCCTCCAGACTCCTCTCACTGCTCCGGCCTCGAGTCTGAAAGTACCAGAAGGAAGATTCAGATCCTCAGTGAGCAGAGTTTGCCTCTTAAAATGCCATTTTTAGTTAGTCCAGGTGCAAGAAAACGTCTGGCACTGTGGGGTTGAGACATCTGGGTGCTGCTTTCATTTATCAAATCCCTTTTGCTAGAAAAGGCCCCTCTAGCCTCTGTCTTTCTCCCTGGGGGTCATTTTGGTAATTCCCAGTCCACATTGTTTTCCCTGCCTTTTTCTTTTTTGGTGAAGACTCCCATGATTAAGAAGAAGGAAAATTGACTCTTCCTTTGGAAGAATGGATTGGAGCACCCTGGAATAGTGGAAGGCGCCCCTGCCCATGGCAGGGGTGGGACTGGAGGAGCTTGGACCTCCCTTCCCGCCCAAACTGTTCCATGATTCTACAAACAAAAAGAAAAAAAAGCCCAAATTAAACCCAAACCTCCAGCCTAAGCTCTGCTCTGGAGTTAAACCTGCCTGCTCTGTCCTTAAGTGACCCCGTGCTGCTCTGGCTGATGCAGCTCTGCATCCCTGACAGCACAAGGGAGGCAGAAAAATGCTGCTGCCACCAAACAGCTCCTGGAGGCACCACAGACCAGGAATTTTACAGCCAGGAGAAAGAAAAGGGCCAATAAATAAAGGCACAATAAATCCAATAGAAGCAATTCAATAAAATCAGTGTTAAGTTCTATTTCTCTAAGTCCCATAGGCCAAATTCCAGGTTTTCAAGCAGAGCTGCTGGTGAGAGACCACAGCAAGGGCTGGAGCTGCACCCCTGCTCCAGCTGCCTGAGGGCAGAGGAACATTCCAGAAAGCCTGAGGCATCATCCACAGGAAAAAATAGATATAAAACATGCCTGTGATCTGTTTGTTTCTAATTTTTCAACATCAAAACCTTTCCTGAACTTCCTCACCTGTAAAAAGCACTAGGGTGTCCTTAAGAAACACCCAGATTTTCTGACCATTTCACACCTCAGTCAGTTTTTTAAGGGAAGGTTTTAAGGTGCAGGTATGGAGAGGATATAACCACAGACCTCTGTGTCACATCCAGGGCAAAAATATCCCTCAAACCTGCTCTCCAAACCTTCTCCATGATCCAGTCCCAAATATCCCACTCCCCAGCTGAGGAACATGGCCAAAGAATACCCAGCTGGACAGAAAGCAAATTGAGACAGCTGGTAAAATAAGAAAACCAAAATAAATCTTGTTTTTATCGTGCTGGAGTGAAAAAACTCTGATCCTCTCTATGTTTGAAGGTATTTATATTATTTAAGAAAGTTATTTAAGTAAGTTATTTATTATTAATTTAAGTTTCATGAAATTATTTCTGTTATTTCCAGGCTGTAATCTGGGGGCCACACACAAGGTTTTACACACCAATACCCAAATCTAGGACTTTTCAAACCACACAGCTCCAACCCCCACAAAGGCTTTTTAAAAAGTTTCATTTTTGGATTAATAAAATAATTTCATCTCAAACAGCTCAGTACCACTGAGTTAATCTCCAAGCACTTAAAGGGCTGAGTAGGAAACCAACTTCCAGCCTCCTCCTTTGGAAAGGGCAGGGAAGGAGTGATGGGAAACAGCTGCTGACAGGGAAATGTTCATTCCTGTGGGGCAAAATTGCCACAGAGTCCTTTGTCCTTGAGAGATTCCTGCCCTTCTGCAAATCAGGAAAAGAGCCAAACAGAGGAGAAAAAGAGGAAAAAAAGCCCAAAAGCTGAAGGTGGGAGGTCAATGCAGAGAGATTTCGGTTAAATCACAGAAATTTCCACGTTTGAGCAAAAAATGTGGTGTTGCTCCTCTGGTCTGGTTATGGGTGCTGGGAACACAAACCAGCAGTGGGACAGGAACCAGTAAAACCAGTTCATTGTCCAGAACACCCTGGGAATACACAACCCCCATTCCCCCTGGAACAGCAGCCCCAGACAAAGCAGCTGGGTGCAGATCTCACCCCAAAAGAGCTGCCAGCTTGGATGGATTCACCCAGCTGCTGGTGGGAAGAGCCCTCTTCATCCAAAAAAACCAACCTTGGAATGGGCACAGGGGGTGGGAATCTGGCTCTGTGTGGGACAAAGCTGGAGGACAGGGCATTGTCCTCCCATTGTCACCAAAAGTGGGAATTTTTGTGCTTTCCTTGAATAAAAAAAGAAAAAAAGAAGAAAAAAGAGAATTTCTTGCTGTATCCCTGCTGAAAACATGGAGTCACCTGGAATGATTGAAAGGAAAATGGAGCAAGGTGCAAACTGCAGGTGGGAGATGAGGAAGGGACAGGAAAGGAGCTTGCACATTCTTAAGGACTTAGCAGAGAGCTTGCAACTTCCCTAAGGAGATTAATAAAATCCATGTTGGAGCCCAGGCAGAATCCCAGCTGTGGAATTCTGGACAAGCAGGAATGTGCCACTTGGGACAAACTGTGAACCAGGATCTGCTGTGGATCCCGAGGATCCCGCTCTGATCCAGTCTGGTTTGAGTGTTGGGTGCTCAGACAAGGAATAAAATCTTTATTTACAGGTGTCACTGTCCAGGAATTGCTTTTGATCTCCCTGCCAGATGGTTCAGCAGGAAAATAAATCACATGGGGTCCCCTGCCCTGCAAGGTCTGCACAGCCACAAACACCTGAAACTGCAGCAAACTTCAGAGGAAGTAAAACAACTCCTGGGACACAGGAGGGGAAAGAAAGGGGGGGTTTTATTGTAACAAAGCAGAAATCCCTTATTGGTTATATATAAAAGTGAAGGGAAATCTCATGGATTTCCACCTGAGGATGCAGGGCAGAAAGTGGCTCAGCCTCCCCAAAAAGGCCTAAAGAATAGCACATTCTGAAAATGCAAATTAAGATTTTATCTGCAAACAAAGCCCAGTTGTAAAGATCTTCATGGCAAAATGTTAACCAGCTAAAAGAGATTTCTCATGATTTATCCTTTTCCTCCTGGGAAAGAATCAAAAGGTTCAGCAGGGCAGGCTGGAGAGCTGGGCAGAGGGAGGAGGTGTATTTTGTGATAAGCCTCAAACAATGTCCCTGTTCAGTGTCTGCACTGAGCTGGAAGAAAATAAAACCTCTGACAAAGCAAGAAATTCTGCAAAGACAGCAGCGGCTCCCAGAGCTGAGACAGGAATTGGAGACCCACGAGCACACACAGACACATCCCCTGTGCAGGGACATGATTCCCTGGAGATTTGATCCCTCTTTAGCAAATAAGGAAGGGACTGTTCCCCGAGAAACATTTTTTTCCCACAAAACTTGCACAAAAAAGCCACACTTGGGTTTAATTGTGAGTTAATCAGGTTTTGGAACAAACTCAGATGTGTTTGGAACAAATCATCTCCCTGCTTTGAGAGGATTTTATGGGTGCATGAAGCAAACCAGCTGAATCACCAGGAAATTTGCTTTATCTTCCCATTTTTATCTCCTTTTCCAGGTGCTTTATTTCCTTTTCCAGCTGAGATCTCCAATCTCTCTGCTCCTCGTGGGCTCTGTGACCCAGAGCTGGCCTGAGCCACTCCACACCTGGAGCAGGATGAAGGGAAATGTGCAGGGGGAGTTTGTGGAAGGATTAAGATGACTGGGAGTGGTTTACACATGCAGATAATTCTCTGTGAGCAAAAGGCCAGGTGTTACAAAGAGATTTCCCAGCGCAGCAGCACCAACATTTTCACTCCCTGCAATCCCAAAGGGAGAAGCCACAGTCTCTGTGTAAGTGGGAAAGACTTTAAGTGGTTTCAGGAGTGTGAAATTGAGCCTAGCAGTGCTACAAAATCCCACAAATAAAAATACAAAACCTCAGCCCTCAGCAAAGCTGGAAACATCCCCCAAGCACCAGAGAGAACGGGGAGGTTTGTAAAACTCTGGAACACCTGGGGTTGGACTCCAGGGCTTTGTCCCTCATCCTGCTTTGCCTGCACAGCCCCAAGAGGAGAAGAAAGAACAGAACTCACCCTTTGCCAGCTGCACGAAGCCCAGGATGATGATGAGAGCCAGCGCCAGCAGCTTGGCCGCAGCAAAGGCGTCCTGCACACGGGTGGCAGCTTTGACACTGTAGCAGTTCACAGCTGTGAGCAGCACTGAGGGGACACACAGGGACAAGGTCAGCACCCAGGCAGACACACCAAACACACCAAAAATCACAAGGAGTCTTTAGGTGGGATATATGGAAGGAATTCCTCCCGGTGAAGGTGGGGAGGTCCTGGCACAGGATGCCCAGAGAAGCCCTGGAAGTGTTCAAGGCCGGCTTGGATGAGATTTGGAGCACCCTGGGATAGTGAAGGTGTCCCTGCCCATGGCAGAAGATGGACTGAGACATTCTCCAAGGACCCTCTCAACCCAAACCACACTGTGATTCCGTTTTGCTGAAGCAACCAACCCGAGCCTCTTTCCAGAAGAGAAACTCGTTGAGAGCTCTGCAGCCTCACACTTCTCAAATCCACCTTTTATTTTGGCAGTAAGCAGTTTGAATGCCTGTGGTCCCTGGGACATGGAACGGCTCTGCTCCATTGGAAAACACTCCTGAGGCTTGTAAATAAAAGGACTGACTGCACCCCTCAGCACCAAAGTGCCACAGTCCCTGTCCCATCAACCCAATTTAGTGCTGCTGTTGTGTGGAAACCCTTCAGGGATGTCAGGCCGAGCCTCCAGGACTGGTCTGTGGTGATTTCTAACAACAGCACCCCAAAGGCTCTGAGGCTGCACCACCACAGCCCTGCTGAGGGGGAAGGAGCTGCCCTGAGCCTGCCCCAGAGACAAACACGGGGCAGGTGGGGAGGGGAGCTGGGGAAAGCCCCATCCCCTGCTCAGCCAGGGCTCCCTGGGGATGGAGGAGAGGATTTCCCAGCATGACACTGCCTCCCCAGCAGTATTTTGTTTGCTGAAAAGCTCCCACTGCCCACAAGTTGCCCTGTGGCTAAGGCAACTACTGGGGCTGAATTCCTGATAGTTTTTTGTTGTATTCCTCCCCCATTCTCCTCTGTGTCCTGCTCCTGCTGCCAGACAAGGCACAGCCTGAACCAGGCCTTGACTAAAGCCTCTGCCCCTGGCTGAGCTTCACCTGCTGCAGAGCAAATTTTGGCAAAGCTGTGCTGCCTGCACAAATCATTGAGTGTTTGGGTGCCCTGCTCCCTCCCCAGAGCCTGCTGCTTGTTATGGGCACAGGCAAATGTCACACTGAGGGTGACAGTGCCCACGTGCTGGATGCCCTCCCTCCAGCCCAGTGACCCCTGGCTGTCCCCTGAGCGCACAGGGAGGAGCAGATCCCAAATCTCCTCCTGGAGCTGGAGGCTTTTCCCTGCAGGATCCTTTCCCGTGCAAAAGCACTTTCCCAGAGTCTGCAGCTCCTTTTCACAGGAACCCTTGCTCAGAGAGCCAAACAGCTGCTCCCCAAAACATCCCAGTCCCCCTGTGAGGCTGCGAGCTGGATCTGCAGTTTAGTGCTCAGAGCATCCCAGAGTGGCTGAGGTTGGAAGGATCCTACAGATCCAGTTCCAGCCCCCTGCCATGGGACACCTTCCACTGTCCCAGGCTGCTCCAAGCCCCGTCCAGCCTGGCCTTGGGCACTGCCAGGGACCCAGGGGCAGCCTGTGCCAGTGTCCCAGGATCCGACGGCTTTCAGGAACATCGGCTCCTTCCCCCACCCTCCCATCTCCGGGATCCGATGCCATTCCAACACAAAAGCGCTTCAAGTGTGGAGAAACGAGAGCTGGATGAGTCAGGAAGGACAGCACTCGATCCAATCCATGCCACAGGAGGGCCAGCCAGCAGCAAACAAGGATTGGAGATGGATTTGGTACCTTGGAGCCCCTCAGGGAGTGTGGGTGAGACTGAAATGATCCTGAGCTGGTTCTGGGGAAGCAGAGCTGGGCTCACAGGGCAGCAGGAGCTGGGCTCTGGCCAGGAGCAGGGCTGAGTGATTGTGGTGACAGATGTGCCACACCACTGTCCCTGTGCCAGGCCCCTCCAGGAGATGCAGAACAAGGAAAATTCCCACCCTGGAGCAGCCCTGTGCCTGTGGGGTCACAGCTCTGTCACCACACAGGGACAGTGGGACACGGCTGCCTCTGGGGACAGGGCAAAGGGGCAGGCTCAGACAGCAGCGAGGAGGAGCTTTAACCAAGAGATCTTACAGTGGTGCAGGGGACAAGGAAACCTGGGGTTATCACCCAGCAAAACTCCCAAGTCGGCCACTGAACACCTCCAGTGCACGGGCAGCGAGCTCTGCAGCCAGGATTCCCTCTGACCAGCGATTATGCTAAAAATAAATCTGCCCTTGTTTACAGAGGGATATTTCAAGGGTGAGCTCACCCATCTAAAAGCACGCTGCTGCTGGGTGGTGAGGACAGCCCTGAGAGGTGTGACAGTGACATTCCCTGCCCCATTTAGGCATTCTGTGTCTGTGACAATAACTGCTTCACCCCCTCTTCAACACTGATTTTCAGGGGTTGTTTTCCCTGCTCTGGTTGTGTACAGAGTCCCCTGGAGGGTGGTGGTGAAAATAAAAGGCAAAAGTTTCCTACATGCTCCAAGTGTCCAAGTTTGGCTCCAAAACCCCATCAGTGCCAGATAAACAGACTCCCTAAAAATGAGATAACACTTTGGGATCAGAGAGTAAACAGGGCTGGAAGATTCTGCTGTGGTCATCAGTCAGAACCATTCCAGTCACATTCCCTCTGCTTTGCTTTTCCCATTTTACAGGAACATTTGTCTTTCCTAAAGGAGCACAAGGGAGTTACTCCAATACCTCCAACCTAGGAATGGCCAAGAATCCCCCATCAGGAAGAATCCTACAGAAAACAAACAGGATGAAAGCTTTTCCATAAAACTCCAGGACAAATTCCGGTGGCTGCTGATCTTCTCATGAGGCTGGGATTTCTTAGAGCAGCAAGTTTGATTGCTTTGATCCCAGATGCTGCCCTGCCACACAGGGGCTGCGGGATCCTCCTGGCAGCGCTCCCTCACCTCAGCTGAATCGCTCCAGGAAAAACACGGCAAAGCTGCACCATAAATCAGGGCAGTGATACAGAGATCAGGCTGTGCTGCCCTAATTCCTGCAGTGTTTTCCTAAGGCTCCAGGCCCTGTCAGACAGCAGCCAGGCAGAGCTTTGCAGTGACCTGGCGGGGCTGTGCTGGGGAATCGTTCGAGGAACACGGATTTCAGCATGACCTGACATGGCACAGCCTGGCTGAGCCAGCAGCCCCTCTCCAAAGCTTTACATAATTGGGATAATAAGTGGAAAGCTGAAGGGATGGCAGATGGACAGGGGGTGACTTTTCGTAGAATCCTATACTGCTTTGGGTTGGAAGGAACATTAAAGTTCACCTTGTTCCAATCCCATGGCAGGGACACCTTCCACTACCCCAGACAGCTCCAAGTCCATTCCAGCCTGGCCTTGGGCACTTCCAGGGATCCAGGGGCAGCCACAGCTGCTCTGGGCACCTGTGCCAGGGCCTCCCCACCCTCACAATAACAAAACTTTCTCCTACATCTAATCTAGCTCAAGTTATTTATTACTCATCACTCAGGCAGGAGAGATCCTGGATTTTGCTTTCCAGGTGTTGTTCATCCCCTCACCCCTCCAGGGACTGCTCCAGCCCAGCCTCATTCCAAGGCAACTCAAACCACAAAGAAAAATTTGAGTTTCTAAATACACCAGCAGGTCTGGCTTCAGTATTTCCTCCGTCCTGCAGTCCTTGCTGGCTCCAGGCATCTCACTGAACCTGCTCCACTGGCACTCACCTGCACAGCCAGGGAATTCCCCATTCCTGATAGGAACAAGGACAAACTGATTAATCCAACACCAAACCCAGGACTTTACCCCCACAATTCTCATTTTGTGGCTGTATCCCTTTGAAGTCGCCTCCCAAGCTTCTTCCCAGACACAATTCCTAGAGACAAGAGGAAAGAAGGGCCTGCAAAGCAGACAGATAAATGGATCAATCCCACCTAGAACACATCCAGGATAAATGCATGGAACAGCTCCCGTGGCCAAGAGAAAGGCAGGATGGGGGAGAGCAGAGGCAAACAGTGGGAATGGAGCTGGACACAGCTAAACCTGGCCCTGCTACTTCTGAGCCCACAGCCCTGGCAGGATTCCTGTCAAACAGGCAGGGCTGCACCTTTCCCCAGGACAACACAGTGGAGATGGACAAAGATCCCATTCCAGCCCCACACGGAACTGGCTGGGGGGGACAGGAGCTTGCTCAGCCCAAGATCCTCAGCAGCTTTGCAGGTGAAATTTCTGGAATGAGCACAGGAATGAGTTGCTGAGGCACTGGCACAGCTGCATTCGTGCTGCCTGTGGGGTCACACACACTTGCACAATGTCCCTTTTGTCCCCAGTTTCACCTCCTGTAGCATTCCCTGCAGTGCTGCCAGTGTGGTTCCTCGTGCCCCTCCTGAACACGGATAAATGTGTGGAAGTAGCTGCCTTCAAGGGACTAAACTCATTAACTTGCTCTTAATTCCCATGGGATTCCTGTCTGTGGATCACAGGACCCAGCAGTAACACACAGCAGGTTGGGAAGTTGTGGAAAATAAACGGTAATAAAGGGAAAATAAAAGGGAAAAGAAAGGAAATCCCTTCCATCAGCTTCCCTGCCAGGAAACAAGGACTGTGAACTGTTCTATCATGCATGACTCTCAGTAACTCACATTTCCAAAGTGCCTGGCCCTTGCCACGGTAAGATGATGCTCCCATTTACCATCTGCCACTGGCTGATGTTGATTTTCCCTCACAATGACTCCCAGAACAGCTCCAGCTCCTTTCCCTTCCCTACCCCACAGCAAAGGCTGCTCCTTTCCCTCCCCATGAAGTGCAGGTGACACTACAGCAGTTTTCTCTCCTACCAACCCTGGTGAAAGGAGGTTTCAGGTAGAGACAGGTCCAGCTGAGCCTGTGGGACCAAGGAGCAAATCCCAGGGATGGCAGACCACATGGAACAGGCACAGAACACTCCATGGTCTTTATGGAATTGCTGCCTAAGCCCACTAGAGGTTGAAAAACAGAGTTAATCCACACAGGACAAATGAAAAACTAAATTATACTGACTAGAGTGGATTAAACCCACAGGAAAA